AGTAGCAGCGGCCATGGGCGTCCTTTGCCGGCTTTTTTATGCGCCCGGCGCTGCAACCGAAATGTCAGCCCTCAGACTTCTACCGACGTCACCTCGTCTTCATCCAGCGAGCAGCATGGGCAGCTCGACGGCAGTCCGACCTGGTCTGCTGACCATGACAGGCGTTTGTGCAAGCTGGGATGTGCAGTGATCACTCTCTGCAGCTTCTGTGATCATGGCAGAGGCTGGAGGCTAAACCATCCCTGCACTAGCTCGCAATCCGAAACCATGCCATCGCCGCCCCGCTTTTCCATGCGCACTATTGCCCAAAGGCCACCGACACGCCAGGCCAGTGCGCATCGTGCCCTGGAGACTCATGCACGGGGATTTCTCGGGCCGGGTCTCTTCTCGGCAGGTGTGTGCACGGGAACCTTTCTGTCGGAGTGCATTGCTTTGCAGAGCCTACCTGGCCAGTGCCTCGTTGTCAGCCCTTGGCTAGTGCAAACCATTCCGTCGCCAGCTAACCATGTCACCGCCTTGCCATTGCGAAGGAAAGACCGGACAGATCCACGACCATCGTGCCTGTAGCCACTTCGCCATAGCCACTTCAGGCGCACTCACCCTTCGCTGGCCGCAGCAACATCGGGAGCTGAACACAAAAGCTGCGACCATGCAACTTCGGGTGACCAATTCATGACCAGTGTCGGCTGTGACCACATCCGAGTAGAGGACGCTCCATGGTTGCAATGAGACTCCAGTTTGGAGAGGAAGACTGTCGGTGGGGCTTTGCCCCATCACGGTGCTGCTGATGACGAGGGCCCCACAGAGCACGCGGCAAGGGAGCAACGCAAGGTGCAAGTCTTAACCTTTGCCTGGCGGCGCGGCGGTGTCGCAGCAAAGGCATGTGCTTTTTGCGGTGAGGGTGTCGATTGACACTGGTGCCTTCTAATGGAACGTGTGCGGGGCCTTCACTCGGCTGCCACGGAGCTGCTGGCTCTCTTATCTTCTACTGCATGGGACGTTTCACAGGGCACAAGCAGACAGGTTGCAACTGCCCGCAGGAATACTTGCATGGAAGCCGGGGCAGGTTGTCATGTCCGCTCACGCTTCAGGGCGCCTACACTGTCGGTGGTAGTCTCCGTGCGCCTAGGTCGCGCCTATATAGAGGGGTACACATGCCAGACATGGCTCCGTGATCCACGAGTGTGCAACAGTCTGATCCGTTTTACACGACCTCGCCTCAGACATGAAGCCGCACTCTTCGCTTTATCGACTGCCAGGCTCTGCACTTTCAGGGCTTAGACTTAGACTTGACGTTGCAGTTTCTCCTGTCTGTCGCTTAGGCGAGGGTGGTGTCTCCGTACCAACGCGCTCATTGCATCTGCGAGCGTTGGAACGATTTCGTTGGAGAGAGGTTGTCGTCACATGCACCAGGAGCGGACCGATGTGGAGGAAGTGTGGGATGGCTATGCTGTCAGCCAGTTAAGCTCTCCGCAGCCGATTTCAAGCTCTGCAGTTGCATCGCAGCTTCGCCGAGGTCAGCTCATTGCTCTTGGATATGCCACAGAGCTCCTCGAGCCACGTCTTCTGAGTGATGCTGCTGTCGTCACATGCCGTCTCAAGCGACCCTTGATCAACATGAGAGGGCAGCTCTCCGTGCATGGAGCCAGCGAACACCCAGCTTGCACAAGGCAAACGGCCGAAACATCAGTGACTAGCTTGCGTCGGTCGATGTAAGGCGTCAACAACGGAACATGTTGAGGGGAACACACTTACCGACTCTTCGTAAGCATGGAAAGGCAGATGCAACCGTGATGTATTTACATCTGACAGGCACGAATCCCGCGAAACGGCCCCTCTGTTTGGTGGGAGCAGCAACAAGTCGTCGGAATCAGGACAACATGAAGGCAAATACACAACGCAGTTCTGATCATGACGCTGGCTAGCTGCTACAGGCTTTTCACGCCTGATGTAGTGCATGCTTCTTCCCGTCTTGGGCTCCGGGCTGTGCTGTCGTCGGTGCTCTTGTGATTCACAGTACCGCCAAGCCACCAGAATCAGCGTCTCGGGCTGCGATTGAGCCGGGTTCATTGTGCAGACCATGCGCTGCGGCTGTGGCAAGGCCGAGATCAGACTTGTTGACAGAGTCAATCTTTCGACAGATGTGAGAACTGCAGATCTACTGCCTGGATGCCTGCTAGAGAACGAAGCTGCTCTGGCACAGGCAGCAGGAGTGCGCCTCGAAATTTCCACAGCAACCGTGGCCCCTCGACGGCCACCGCCTGACGCAGTCTTCAGATCACATGGGTCACTCCCACTCAAGTAGCAGTGGTGTCATCGTGACAGTGTCATTGATACGGCCTGTAAGTTT